GTTACATGTATTCCCCATCCTGATCCCCCCTCCCACCTCCCTCTCTACCAGATTCCTCTGGGTCTTCCCAGTGCACCAGGAACGAACACTTGTCTCATGCATCCCACCTGGGCTGGTGATCTGTTTCACTATAGATAATATACATGCTGTTCTCTCGAAACATCCCACCCTCGCCTTCTCCCACAGAGTCCAAAAGTCTGTTCTGTACATCTGTGTCTCTTTTTCTGTTTTGCATATAGGGTTATCATTACCATCTTTTTAAATTCCATATATATGCGTTATTGAGTATACTTGTCTGTGATGATTTTCTCCTCTCTTTGCTTCTTTTAAGATCATTTCTTTGGCTTTTTAAAGTTTGATTATATGTATCTTGGTATGGATATCTGAGTTCATCTTATTTGGAGTTGGTCAAATTTATTGGATGTTTATGTTCATGTGTTTGACCACGTTTGAGCGTCTTTCAGTCACTGTTTCTGCAGATATTCTCTTTGCCCCCTTCTGTTCTTCTTGGTCTCTCACATGCGCATATTGTTCTGCTTGATGTCCTGTAAGGCCCCTTAGGCTATGTTCGTTTTTCATTTATTTTCTTTCTGTTCTTCATAGTTGATAACTTTAATTGTCCTATTAAGTTACTGATTGTTTCTTCAGTCTGCTCAAATCTGCCTTTGAATCTCTCTTGTTAACTTTTCATTTCAGTTACTGTACTTTTCAATTCCAGAATTTCTTTTTTATTTCATCTTAGGCTTTCCATGTATTGGTGTTTCCATTTTGTTCGCACATTGTTTTCTTGACATTTCCCACATGTCTCTCTAGTTCTTTGAGCATCTGTCAGACAGTTGTTTTAAAGATTTGTCTAGTGTATCTGCCATTAGGTCTTTTTCAGGGACAATTTCTGTTATTTTTTTTTCTTTGAATGGGCTATACTTTCTCTGTAGGCCTTGTGATTTTGTGTGTGTGGGTGTTTAAAACACTGATCATTCGACTCTAATAATGTGGTAATGCTGGAAATCAGATCTTTCTGTTAGGTAGGTAGAATAGGGAAAAAGAGTCCAAAGTGGCGGTGGCTAAAAGACCTGGAAGGGAAAGCCCGCGAAAATAGAACAAAGGAAGGTCCGAGGACCGGAGTGAGAACCTCAGGTAAAACAAACAGCACTCCTGGCTGGCCCAATTTACATAAGACAGGCCCAGGGACGGAAACATATAAAAAGAGGGGCCAAAGCCCTCTTCTCTCTCTCTCCCCCGCGCGATGGGGCGAGCTTCTCTTCCGTCTTTGGATCGACGTGCCCTCAGGCCTCGAAGATGGATTTTCCTGCTATCATCTAAATAAATAGAGCTGTAACACTGAGCTGTAACACTGATTTATTTAAGTGCTATAACACGGTCCGTTCGAGACCTGAGAGCTATAACATGGTCTGTCCTCCGAGAGCTGTGACCCGCCAAGGGGCTTTAATGTCCGTCACTCCAAATCTTTGTTGTGAGGAGACAAAGAACCGAGGAGCATACACTCGTGTGACATTTCCCTTTCCCCAGGGTTTACTGATTTCTGTTGTTTTTGTTTTTATTGATTGTTGTAGGTTACTTGTGTGATGAGGATCAGCCTGATGTGTAAATTTAAGGTTTTCCCTGGTCTTTTGTGAAACTTTTCCTGGGTATGTGTGGTCACTTTCCAATTCCCCCTTTACATACAGTTGTTTTTTATGTCCTAGTCTTTAATATCTGGCCCCCAAAGGGGGAAAAAAGCAAAAGAGGAAGGGGAGGTGGGAAAGGAAGGGCCCTTTTAATCCTCTGTAGTTCATTTCAGTTGGGGAGGAAGGACTTGCACCAATGAAGGGAGGTGCAACTGTGGTTGCCCCTCTCCGTGACTGAACCTCTGTGATCGTAAGTAGTAATCTGTGCTCAGAGACAGATATTCAGAGGACAGGCTCCTGCCTCCTGCAAGCTCTATATAAGCCATTCCAGGAGCATGTACACAGCTGTCTGCCATGCAGCTGGGGATGGAGGATGGGTAGTTGCTACTGTGCTAACGGTTGAAATTGACTGAAATTAGCCACGATTTACTGTCCAAATCTTCCCCTGGAAGTTGAAAGCCTTCAGCAGACTCCAGAGTTCCAAAATAATTACCTCAGA